TAAATTCTGTATCAAATATGGAACAAATATTTATCCTTCAGGTATCATATTCACGTGATTTCAGAAAGTGCAAATCTGAACAAGAGGTTCTAAGGGAAATAGAAACTGCATGCTTGAGAATTATCTTTTAAAGACCTAAAAGCAAGAAACTACCTCTTTTTTCAAGGAGGAGGATTCATTATTCAGTACTATTATGAGGTCTTCTTTCAGATTACAATATAATTCAGGTTCTAGTACAAAATTTTAAACGGTTATGTAGAACCTGGCTGTCATTTAAGATATTCAGAAATATAGAACCATAAGGATGACAACAAGAAATATAACAACTTTTTGTCCAGAAGAAAGTCAGGCAGAGAGGATGGAAAGATGGAAGAATGTACCATAAAAAGACCTAAGCCCAGAAAGAAACACTGGAACACAGTCATGCCTATACACTGAATTTCAGGTAAGCACAGAAAAATATTGAATGGGAGCCCATGGACAGAAATTTTCAGATTTCTGAAGGAGTCCCAGGAGGTCAAGGACCTTTCAAAAATAAAATACTCAATCCCGTTCTCATGAGAAAAAAAACAAAACAAAACCCCACAGTTTGGGAAACCATTGTGGATTTATAGGGAGGTTTCAACTGAACTAATAATTAAGAAAGATGTATGGGAAATGGAAGATAGATATAATCATCAAGGAAGCTTAACAGCAAATAGCTAATATCTTCAGAAATAAAGTTAGAAAGGCTAAAACACAAAACGAACTTAAGCTCCCCACAAGCGACAAAAAGGATTTTTTTGGCTGTCAGCGATATGAGGGTTGGGATTATTATTAGACAACGATGGTAGGATGGTAACAAGATGGGGGAGGACAGAGCTCCTCAACCCCAACCTGGCTTTGTCTTCTCCCAAATGGGATCTGTGTTCCAAGGGAACTAAGCAGAACACCTGACACAAAGAGGGAGTAGCAATGCATCGTAAGTAGAGATGGGTAGGGAGCACCAAGCTACCATGATTGAGTTTAAGTCTCCAAGACCACACCAATGTTATTATTTGACAATCTTGGAGGAGCTTTTGGACATATCTCAGATCCCCTTTCTATGATCTTTGAGAAATCACGGAGGATAAGCCTAATGCCAGAAGGCCAGAGAGGGACAAACATTCCTATCTTCAAAAAGGGGAAGACAGAAGACCTAGGTAACAACAGTATTGTTAAAACTCTGAGAACAGATTATTAAGCAGTTGGTTTGTGAGCATTTAGAAAAGAATGCATTGCTTGGCAGGAGCCAGCATGGGTTTATCAAGAATAAATTATGATTTACCAACTTGATATCTTTTCTTTGATAGAGTGACCAGTTTAGCTGACCACAGGAAGGGGATGGACATGGTGTACTTTGACTTCAGCAAAGCATCTGACAAAGTATCTGATGAGATTATAGTTGAGAATATAGCAAAGTGCAGGCTAGACTACACTACCATTAGATGGATTGAGAAGTTGAACTATTATACCAAAGTGTGTACATCAGTGTCTCTAACAAACTGGAAGGAAGTGTAAACTGGGGTTTTGTAGGCCTGCTTTCTTAAGCCCTGTATTGTTCAACATTTATTAGATTTGTTAAGGCCACCCAATTCCAAAAGGACTCTGAGCAGCTTATAGCATATCTAATAATACAGGAGTTTAAAAAAATACAACTAAAACAACATGACTTCCTGAACCAAAACAGCAGTCCCCACATTGAGACTTGACCGGGGCTCCACAGACACCCTAGCTCCAGGTCTGGGAACAGAACCAGGTCTTAAGGGACCTCTGGAACCCTTGGAGAGTGGAAGCCATGGATATCTCCAGGGGCTGCAATAGAGAAGGCATGCTTCCTCTGTTCCACAGGATGGGAACACTTAACTGAGGGGACCTGAAGCATACCCACTCTGCCTGGATGCCCTGGATGGTCAGAAACAACTGGCACAAACCCGGTGCCATGAAGAATAAGTAATGTCCTGCACCTTGAATTGCACCCACAAGCATACTGGTAACCAATGCAGCTTGTGTAGCAGCAAATGCACATGGGTATAATGAGAAGTGCTCATTACTGCTCATGCTGCTGCATTTTGACCCAGCTATAGCTTCTGAATGGTCTTCAAGGGCAGCCCCATGTAGAATACATTCCAGTAGTCCAATTGTGAGGTAACGAGGGCATGAGTGACTGTCTGAAGAGCCTTCCAGTCAAGAAAAGGGTGCAACTGGTACATAAAATAAACTTGTGCAGAGGCCCTCCTGGCCACAGCTGCCACCTGCTCTATATTTATAATTGATTTGGATGAGGGTTTAGCAAAGTAGGATTACCAAATATGTGGCCAACAGAAAGGGGAGGACTTTGTGGCTTATTCAGCTAAAATTAATCAAACCATAGCTTGATACAATATGCAAACCAAACAACACAGTAGGGAAGAGGAGTCAGACAGCAATGGACAAGCTGAAAAATGGGATCCAAGTACAATAACATCATTGGGGAATTCTCAGGAAAGATGTTGATAATGAAACTGAAATTATATCCACACCTGCTCATCTTAGAAGAACTTTCCATCTGTGGTCTAAGAACTATTTGCATCCAAGCACCTAGCAAAAGTACCTCTAATCTCTACAAAACTAGTTGCCATGCTCCTCCAGAGTAGCAGTAACATATCAGAAAGAAATGTTTCACAAAATAAGTCTTCTTTCAATAAAGACTTCTGGCAAAATTCTTAGAGGCTGCATGAGGAATGTATTTTTACCAAGGAATGAAACACTAGTGTGAGTATTGGCTACCTTTTAGTACCATATAGCTGCTTATTAATAGACTGTATTATCGGTTTTCACTTGGATTTCTGTTCTTCCTTCCATGTTAACAGGTAAGGCTCATGCTTGACACAAGGGTCAATGAAGATCAACCAACCAATTCCAGTTTTCCAAAGATGGCCAGTCCAGAATTGTGAATCTCCCATGGTGAGAGGGGAAGGAAATAAACACATTAAATGGAGAGGGAGAAAGAAAGCAAAACAGAAATATTTTGTTTGCTGTATTCAGAATAGTGGATTATCACTCCATCATTGTGTGTTGAAACTATACTTCTGATTGACTTAACAGAAGTCAGAAAATTCAAAGGTTACTTATTCTAGTATTATCTGTCAAGGGATTAAAGGAAGTTTAATTCTATTCAGTTTAACTTTAATGGAAGAATTCACAGAAGCATTCATATTAAACGATTTTCTTAGTTATTCATGTTAAGATTTTTACAGAATCTATTAAGAGAGTTTTAAAAGCTTTTTCCTCCACCACAAAAAGAGCTCCATTTTAACAAGTTAGCATTATTAAACAGTTTGTGGTACTCTCCGCATTTAAAGTATGCATACTTTACCTAGATAACTCTCAATGTGGAGTCATAAAGCTTTTGTACTCAATGTTCAGAACTTCAAAGCTAACTCAATTATCCCAAAACCTTCAGTGAGAAAGCTCCTACATGAAATGTAACAATGCACAGAGTGATCTTACAGAAGGGAGAGGACAGACATATCCCCAGAATTGCTTCTGATTTTAGTGCCTCCCAGAGCTAGTATATAAAATTGTCAAGTACATTTTTATCAACTATGGAACCAGAGTTTAACAACTGAATGGGGGAAAAAAAGTACAGCAGATATATGACTGAATATAGTAGTGTCATTCAAACATTAGGTATGGAGAGTTTTCTTCCTCCTAGCTGAAGAACAATACTGGTTCTTCGCTGTAATAACAGTAAACATTAATAGCAAACGTAAAAAGAAGACATTAAAAAAAAGTCTACAAATGGCAGAGGAAATGGAAAAACACACTCACCAAGTGTTCCTGTTTTGAGACTGAGGTAGGAAAAAAGTCCAGAGAATCAAAGGAAGTAGAAAACAAATATTGAGGACTGTGTTGCATTGCAGGCAAGGTCACAAATCTAAGCACCCATGTACATTTCAGCTGTCAGTCTTCTATCCTCCCTACCTCATCCCTTTGAAGGAAATATCTGTAGTTCTTATACACAGCACTAGCTATTTTTAACCAGAATTTTTAGGACTGACCTTTACACAAAATGAAAAACCAAGTCCACATCTTAACTAAACTGAGAATTCTGAGTAAACATGTTTAGGATGAAGCAAAAAGCAATTCTATGGGTCTGAGAGTTCATCCAGGTGGGATTTACTGCTGAGTAATCCCACATCAGGATAGGGTGTAAGCAGACAGAGCCTGGTGGGGTTTTTTGTTTTGTTTTTCGGAAGCAGGTTTGAAGCACTATCTCCAACAATTAACCTTTAAGCTATATGCACATTTACCCAGGGAAATCCCCCTGGACACCACAGAACATACTTTCAAGCAGACATTCAGACGATTACACTATTGCACACAACTAGCTTTTGCTATGAAGCGAGCAGATCTCTGCTTTCATTTTTAAGGGTCTTGTTTTGAAGAGGAGCAAATACACGCATGAGATTCTCCCCTAGATGTAATTTAGAGCCAGCAACTGGACCTGCCACAAGCTTCCCACCTCACAGAGAATAGGTGATGACTTCCATCAGTTACCAATTAAAAAACCGCAAGAAAGAAAGTGCGTTAACGAACAATCCTCGGGAGGGAAATAGGCAAAGCGTCTGCAGCCGTTCAGCGGGAAGGGCGTTTATTAGACCCGGGGTTTAAGCCGAGAGGCAACCACCCGCCAACTCTCCCGTCCGAGGGATCCTCGCAGGCTCTGACCGCAGCGCCTCCAGTGAGCTACCCTCCCCCGCCCCTGCCTCCCGAGGCCAAAGAAGTTTAACTTCTGTTACTGCCAGAGCTCCCTCCCAACTTGCGCCTGCTGCTTCCTGAGGACACTCGGGCGACAGCCGCGCCCCCAGACCGTCCCAGAACCAGCTACCCCACGGTCCCAAGCCCAGCGCCCCCAGAAAAGCCCGCCCGCTCCCCACTGCATCCTTCAAGAATCGCCCTCCAAACGGAGAAGCCCTCCCCGCCGAAGCAGCGCTTACCAAGAGAGCGAGCAGCAGCATTCTCCCTCCGCAGAACGGAGCCCCCCTGAAGCTGCGCCCCGGCTGAACCATAACCCAGCTCGCTCCGGCTCCGACTCCGACTCCGGCTCCGGCTCCGGCTCCGGCTCCGGCTCCG